GGGTTCAGTCCATAATTGGCTGGCTCCAGGGCAGGGTGGCATGGCAGAGGGGCATCGCAGAGGAGAAACAGTTCACGGTGGGCAGAAGGCAGCAAAAGCAGCAGGCAGCAAGTGACAATAACAGCCCTCTTTCTGTCCTTTATATTCTATCCAGGCCACATGCCCTTAGGGTAGGCAGCACTCACACCCAAGGTGGCCTTCCCATTGTCCCCACTCAGAACTATGCCAAACCAATCAGTGGACTAATTTAGTAAGCACAAAACTTTAATCCCAGCATCACACTCTTAGATCCAGCCACCTCTGAAAAGCCCCACCTATGAACACATGAGGCTTTGAGGAACATCTAGACACAAGCCATAACATGAGGCTTCCCTGCATCATAGGACTACTGTGCGGGTGGAGGCTGAGAACCACTTGGACTCAACTTCAGCTTTTCCCTTAAGAAACACAAACATATGGCGTGCCTCCATCCCCCGGCCAGCCTTGTGTTGCAGTCACATCACAAATAGAGCAAAAATGATGCAGCAACACAAGCCCAACATGATATGAGGTAAATGAAAACAAACCAAAACAAAGAGCCTGTGGGAGAAGAGGCCTACTGCATGCTGGCCTCCCTGGGATCAGACACGGCTCCCTGCTGCAGGGGTCTGTCAGACACTGCTGAGCCAAAAAACAAGAACAGCTAGGTGAGTCCAAACAGAAGACTCAGAATATTCTCAATGCAGATGGGCTGGTATATAGATGGCAGCCCTAAATTCCCTCCAAGTGGAACAGAATAGCTAGGCTCATACATGAACTTGGAATGCTGAAGTTCATGCTAAAAATAAGTTGGAGAAAAGGCTATCACCTCAGGGTAGGCTGTGAAATACGTGCTGTCATATGCATTTTGCCCCCTCTGCCCCACAATCCCATCCATCTCTCACTCCCCTGCCCCATCTGTAGTGGTGCTATATAAGGTGTACCCAGAGAGAGGATCAATAGAGCCAGGCATGATGGTGCATGCCTAGAATCTCAACACTCTAGGAGGCTGAAACAGGAGAATCACAATTTAAGCCCGTCTGGCAAACTTAGCCATTTAGTGAAACTCTGCCTCAAAAACAAACAAGCAAATGAAGGCTAGAGAAAGCTTAGTGCAAAGGCCCTGAGTGTGATCCCCAGTACTGCAAACAACACAAAACAAAACAAAACAAAACAACCAACCATTGGACTGGGGAAGACTTTGCACAGTCGCCCTGTCTCTCCTAAAGCAAATTGAGTCATCTGACTGGAAGTCACAGTAAAAATAGGGTGGATTAGGGGCCATCTTGGTAACACAGGTAGTAAAGGAAAGCCAAAGCCAAACAGATGCAAAACTAAAACGTTAATGTGATCTTTATTATACAGCACATCTTGTGTTTGTGCATACTAACAATTATATAGAATACTCTATAAAAACCAAACCCCACCATTAAAAATTACGCTAAGCAAAGATTTAACCCATAGTCGCATCTCTTAAAAATACACAGTTAATATGGTCCTGTAACAATATGGACAGAGCCAGGTAGCATGAGGAAGTAGGGATCAGAGAGTTTGAGCCAAAGTATTTTTCTTTTGTTATTGCACTTTTATTCTACACACCTAGTATGTTACACTTTTATTTAACACTGTAACAAACATTAGTCCTTTAACACAAACAAAAAACACATTACATAAAGACAAAAGACAAGCTGTGGGTGACCGTGTTTTTCAGCAAGCTGGCCTCCCAATGACAAGTGCTCTCACACCGCCATCACCTCAGCTGGACTAGATGGTAACAAAGCAGAAGTTAACCCTGAAACTCTTTTAAGAATAGTGCTATCTGAAACCTCCAGGGGGATTTGTGATAGAAACACCTAAAGGCCACTCCTTTCTTACCCTCTTTATCAAGCTGGCTCCACCTACTCCCACCCCTATATTCTTAAGAATCACCCTCATTTTCTTTTAGAGAAATGAGTTATTTAATCCAGCAAATCCAAAAAGCAAGCTTCAAAGGTTCAAAGAGTGCAACTCCTCTTTGGCAGCCGACATTTCCAGGGCCATTCATCCTGCTCTGAGGCAGTGCGGACCTCAGAGGCTTCCTGATTGGCTCAGTGGAATACCAAACTCGGCATCTCTCCAGATCAAGGCCAGAGGGTGCCTCAGAATCCAAAGTGCTGCTGTGACCACCAACCCCCCTGGGCTTCTCAGTGCTAAATAGTAAGCCAAAAAATAAAGTGTCATTCAGAGTAGCTGTCACCACCCAGCCCTGACTCTCCAGCCCTTCTCCTACCAGGAGATACATTTCCCAGCTCCTCTGATTTGTTTTGGGTTTTCGTGCTGGAGATGGAACCCAAGGCCATGCACAGGCGAGGCTGCACTCTGCCACTGTCCTACCTCTCAGCCCTCCACGCCCTCTTTTGGCAGCTCTGACAGCTGGGAGCTGACAGATACTGGTCAAGAGTTCTACCATTCTATCTGTGGTAGTAACATTTCTTTTCCTCTACTGCTTCTCTGAGCTTTAGTGTTTAAAAAAATATATATGAGCAGCTGCTGCCTAGGCTGTACCTCCTGAAAGTCTATGGAGTCAAACGTGACTCTCTTTGGTCCGGGAACAACAGCAGCGTCCTCCTGCCAGAGCTGTGGAAGGCTGGCTCCATCAAGGGTCCACTCTGCAGAGAGCAGGTCTGCCTGTGGGTACCTCCTCTGGACCAGCACTGCTTACCTGCACTGCTGCGAGCTTTGAGGCAGAGTCACCATGGTTTCTTCTGATTGCTCTGCAGGAAGGCCTCTCAGTTCCGAAGCCAAATGAGTGACCAGACTTCGAGCTCTTGAAAAAAAAGGCCAGGTGATCATTTGGGGGCGGGGCAAACTGACTGAAGTCTTCTAGAAGGATTGAACACAGTAAGGGCAATCTGTCAGGCCACCCTTCTTCCTCCCCCAGCCACAATCTCACCTTGCCACTTGGGAACACAAACAACCAAAGCTCAGACGTAAGAGCGTCTGCTCTTGGCTGGGATGCACCTGCCTGCCTAAGTACTGCCACACTTCTCAGAATATCTAGTGTCTTCTCAAGTAATATACAATACAGTACTTCTCATAGCATTCCATCATTTTAATAATAATGGGTGCCAAGGAACAAAAAAGTCCAAAATTAGCTAACAATGTTATAAAACAAAAGTATACATAATACATTATCCACATGTAGATACGCATTCCTGCACTCAGCCTGCTGAGTATTTAAATAACAGCCCCAAATATCCATATGTGGACTCTGGTTGGCCTGGACACTTCCAGGTATATTTGCACCTTTTCTCAGAATACTTTTTTATAATGAAAATAACTACTCATCTCCTCACCTAGTATTAGTCAGTCCCCTTGCCTTTTCCACTAGGCAAAAATGTAGGAAATCTGCTAGGAAACTGGTATCTGAGTGTGGACTAAGCCACAGGAGATGAACTGAAAAGGGATTCTGGTTGAAAAAAAAAATTAACTTCCCACATGTGAAGGGGAGTTTGAGCTAAGACTTCCAAAGAATGTCCTGATTATACAGAAGCAAGAGCATGGTCTGGAGGGGAACTAACTGAAGTCTCACATAGAACAGATGCACAGTGATTCTTTGGCAAGCAGAGACCACTTACTTCCTAACTGGACATGTGGCTTTCCGGAGCCCCATCATCACCCCAGAAGGGCAACAAGACAATGCCAAGGAGAACAGAGTGACTAAAGTGTGGGTGAAGAGGTGTTAAGATCCTAAGAGAGGTGCTAAACAGTCTACCAAAATGAACCTGGCGCCAATGTGCCACAGACGCTGGTCAGTCACTTTACCATTTGAAAGTGGAAAGGTCAGTAGCGTTACGTGAAGTCCTGAAGGGCTGCATGCGCTGAGCCTGCTACCGTGCTCAGACATCATAATCAGAGCCCAGGATGGCCAAAGTTCCACAACTGAGCCCCAAATTAGGTGACAATGTATCACACACGCACTTGTACTTCGCTGCTCATTCAGGGAACAAGCAACCCCAGGAACCCAGCGCTGATGCAACACTCAAACTTGGGGACCTGCTTCACACTCAAGGTGGCCCCCAAGCTCTGGAGACTGACAGACGCATGGAGGCCACTGCCTCTGTGTCTATTCCTTCATCTATCTGTGTCTCTAAAGCTCACGGACAGTTTGGTGGAGGAAGGCCTGAAATCAAGACCTGAGATGCACCGGTGTTGAAACAGCTCCCCGCCCTGGACACAGAGGCAGGTGCTTCCCGGACACTAACACACACAGCTGGCCTTCTCTTTTGTCTGTTTTTGTTTTGTTTTGTTTTTGAGGGGCAGGGGTCCTGGTTCTTTTTTCTTCTAACAGATTATATTTAAATTAAGGTAAAAGGAGGGGACAGAAGAAACCTTGGCTCTTTAACCACTGGTTAAGCTTTAAAAACATTAGTGTGTTAGTTTTAAACACAGAAAGTAGTTTCTGGGTTTTTTTAAAGTTTGAAAATCAGCTGGTGGCCTTCTAGCTTTGTGTGCAGGCCATGGGCACGATCCCTCCCTGTGCTCAGGTCTCACCCACGTTCCACACCGAGCCAGTTCTGCTCAGACGCTCGCTCCTGCGGACCATGTGCTCGGAGCCTGGAGCTCTCCCTCTCCCACCTGCGACCAGCAGAGGGGTGGGGACCCACGGGCAGAACAGAACCTGTTCTGGGTCTAGCAGTAACCCCAGCACAGCAGGTTATATACACGTATACATACATATGCACATGCTTTTTTGCTACTTGTTGATGTAACAGTGAATACCCCCCTAGAAATTAGGGATGTATGGCCCTGTAAATGTAAACACTCTGGCACAGTGGGGAGCACACAGCCTTGTTTCTAGCTCCCTCGCTGGACTGTTACAACCTGAGAGCCCTGGTTACAGACAGCAGGAACCAGGCAACCATACTTTTTTTTCTGTCCCTATGTTCATAGAATCCTGAACTAAGCTCAAATTTTCTAAGTGGTGCTAATCATTAGATAGAATCAAACTATTTCTAGCTGCAGCTGACATCATGAAAATGATGTTTTAATACTATTGCCACTGCAGTGCCCCACTTCTTGTCTTAGAAACATGATGCAGTGAGCAGTGGTAACGTTTGTCTCCTCATCTGTCTTGAGGCCAGAACATCCCATGTTCCGCTTCTGCATATCTCGGACAATCTTTTGCCGAAGGCATAAGGCATGGTGTGGGGCATCACTGAACTGCCCCCGCCACTCTGCAGCCATCCAGCCCCAGCAAGCACCATGACCCTCAGGAGCTCCCTGTAATGAATAAATGTCAAATTCTCCCCATGGCCAAAAGGTGAGGGGAAAAAGAAACAGTGCAGGAGAAAGGTTTTCGCTTTCAAATAGAATCTTCTAGTCCTCTGTTCGGCTGCTCGAAACTTGATTTGCAGAGCCGGTCCATGATGCCCCGGAGCATGGGCTGGACGATGCCCAGGAGAGGCCTCTTAGGGGGGTCACCATCCCAACAGGCTTCCATGAGCTGCCAGCACTCTTCATCAAACACAGGCAGACGTTCTGGGCGGGCCCCTAGACAAAGGAGCACGCAGATAAGACCAATGAGTGAGCAGCACGATGGCACATGGCTGTAATCCCAGCACCCTGGGAGGCTGAGGCAGGAGCACTGCAAGTTTGAGTCCAGCCTGGGCAACTTAGCAACTTTGCAAGACCTTGTCTCATAAAATAAGGGTTGGGGATATCGCTCAGTGTGAAGGCTCTAGGTTCAATTCCCAGTACCACCCCCAAAAAAGACTATTCAGTGAGGGGGACCCAATATAAAGAGATCATACAAATCAGGGCGCAGGATCCTAAATGCAAGCTTTTAATTCCACTGCAGACATCTAGGTTGGAACCTGATAAGAACAGTGACGGAAAATTGGAATATACTGGCATAGGAAACTGAAGAATTAGAAAGTTTAAAGAAAATAAAAAAAGCACCTTTGAGTTACTTCAAAGCAGTGTTGCCTGGAAGCAAAGACATGACTTAAAAGTGTCTTTCTGGGCCCTCACGATGGATCAAGTGTGCGTGTGGTCCAGCTACAGAGTGGCCCCTGCTGCAGCGCTGGGCTCAGTCTGCTCTTGCGGGGGAGTCAGGGCAGAGTGGTGCGGGGCTCTTACCTTTCCGCACATTGTTCCAGAGGTGGTCTTTGCTAGCACACCTCTCAAACGCTTCTGGGAGCTTGACAGAGCCTGAGCAGATGTACCAGAAAAGAATCCCAAAAGCGTAGACATCCACGGAATTGTCATACTTCCCTACGGCAAGGAGGGTTGAGAAAGAGTAAGCCAAGGAGAGGAAGGCAGCAGCGTCACGCCACCCCGCACGTGCGGGTCATTACAGGTTTTCTTCTAAGGATTTTACACCCACTGTCTTTCAGAACAGCCCTGGCTAGGCAGCAGGGCACACTCTACCAAGACCAGAACTTGAGAAGGAGAAGGGGCGTCGGGCCTTTTGGTTTCAGGGCATCTACATAATTAATACTTGGTCACATTGGGAAAACATAGGTGGGTGATGGTGGGGGTACCTGAGAACCAGTATCACAATTTTTGAAGGCAGAGAGAGAAGAGTCTGGATCCGAAGGGCAGCAGGAGGTTTATGTTTTATAGCAAGAGGTGGCCTGAAAACTGTTACTTTATTTTCTCTTATTTTATTTTTTACAGTACTGGGGATGGTCCCAGAGGATGGTTCTGGGGCTAGACCACTGAGCTACATCCCCAGCCCTTTTTAATTTCTGAGACAAGAATGTTGCTAAGTTGCCGAGACTGGCCTGAAACTTGGAGTTCTCCTGCCTCAGGCTCCCAAGTGGCTGGGATTACAGGTCTGTGTCACTATGCCTAGCATCTATAATATTTTAGAAAGATTATTCTGATAACAAAAGTGGACTGCAATAGAAATCATCAAAGGACTTTAGATATGAATAATAGCTAAAACAGAGTAATGACAATGGGAACAGGAATTTAAAAACAAAAGCAACGTAAATCTAGGGGAAGAAAAATGATGACTGTCTACTTGGTTCAGAGGCGGGCAGAGTAACAGTTGTCTTCCTAACTCCTAATACTTATATAAGTTTATCCTTTGATGAAGAGTCGGGGAAAGACATATACAAAATGAAATAAATGCAAATGTATTGCTAATTTTAGCTGGTATAAATACTCATGGTTGACCTGTGATTACCTTTCCGTCTTCCCTAGCAAAGTACAACCATTTCCCATCCACGGCCATGTTTTAATTATTCCTTTCTGTTCATCACTCAGCAAGTGAGTAACAAAATCTTGCTTATTCTCCCTCTGACTTGATCTCAAATGAGTCACTCTTCTGTGTCAGCATTAACACCACACTAACCCTGGAGAGAACCAGTACCTAACTGGTCTCCTTCCACTTGTACTTGTCGCTCAAATCCTCACTGAGTTAATTTTCCGTGAACATTTTCTTTTCGTCTTTTCCCTGGGCAAAAGCTCAACATCTCCTGACTTTTTCAACAACAAACCTAACTCCACTACAAGCTTTATGTATTTATCTCCAACCTTGTTTGATGCTGTTCCCAAATGGGAACATGTTTATTTGTATTCTGCAGTTTTTCTCAGTATTTCCCTTCTCCAACCCCCAGAAGTTTCTTCTCTTCATTTCAAATGCTTGGACTCTGGAGACAGAAATACCTAGATTAAGATCCGAGGACTATTTGCCTTCTAGCTCAATGTTTTTGGAGTAAGTTACTTTATCAACCTGGCCTCAACTCTATCCACGAAATGGACGTAAAGGTGCCTCAATGTCATGACACAATTCCTAACAGGGTTAAACAAAACCACATATAAAAACATGCCTACTCTGCCTACCTCAAAGTTTACATTGTCAATTCCCTTTCCACCACCAATTCGTCCAGATCTGACTCAAGTTCTACCCAAAATCTCACGTCTACCACAAAACCACCAAACATTTCAAACATTTCCACCTTTGCTAACACAACAGTGTATTATACACCCATTACTTTAGCATTTAATCACACACTGCCTCGGCTGCTTCCAAATTATTTTGCCTCTTTCAAAATATGTAAATTCTTTAATGATAGAAAACAATTTTACTATTTAAGAATTACTCAATTCTTTATGATCAAATAATGGGCTGATTTTAGCAAGTATGGCATAACCCAGAGAGACATCCAAAGACCACTCAGTGACTCCACCTGCACTTTTCCCCATCTGCATTAGGTTGCCCTGTGCTGGTCTCTGCCTTGCCCGTGTCAGACCTGCCAGGAGTACCTGTGCCTGCCACTCAGCCCAGGGGTAGTACTCGGCGCTACAGTACTGAGCCCTGCCCAAACCCACTCCGTGCCCCCCGCTGTACCTGTGAAAAGTTCAGGGGCCATGTGGATTGGCGTCCCCACAATGCTGCCTGACATCATGGCCTCTGGCTTGCAGAATCCTAAGTCAGTGATCTTGGCACGGTTCTGTTTGTCCAGCTGCCAACAAAACAGAATGACAGTCACCTTGTCTCTGCTCCTGCACTCAGCTCTTAGTTATACACCCAAGCTTGAAATAGGTACCTCGAAGTACTGCCGTAAATAAGTTCTTTCTCCAAACTCCCTATCTCCAGATTCATTCACATTACTGTCCTCCTCCCCATACTATAAGCAATCTGATGGCAGCGGCTCTCTTTCATCTTTGTATCCCTGGCACTTGATATAGTGCTTGGCACATATCAGGATTTTCATAAATCTTGGAAGAATAAATAAGTAAAGATCCATAGAAATACTGTACACATTGGGTTGGGGATTTAGCTTGGTGCCACCGCCTGCCTCAGAAGCGCAAGGACCAGAGTTCAATCCCTGGTACCAAAAAAAAAAAAAAAAATGCTGTGCACTGAGGAAAATATTTCAGCTCTTGGTTCTTCTCCTGACCCTAGAGCAGAAAACTGAAGTCTTCTGGTCAGTTAAGGAGATTCCTGAAATTCCTGTGTTTCCTTTACTAAACAGTCAAGGGAGAGCTGGGGGTGCAGCTCAGGAGAAGAATACCTGCCTAGCTCTCCCCTGCACAAGACCCCAGCACCACAAAAAACAAACGAAACCCCCCAAAATCCACAAGAATCCATGAGTTATCTCATTCAGCCTACAATTTTATGGGCATCTTTCCCTTCCCCCAGACTGTTGCTATCTTTATTATGTCACTGAAATGATGTCAGAAAAACCTTAATGATACTCTCAAAATTTTTTCAAGAGGAACATGTCAAAAGATTCTTTATAATTTAAATAACAGAACTGGTGAGCTCATGACTATCTTACCTTTTAAAATGCCTTTACTCACTCAGCTGTCATCTGTGATCAAACCTTAAGCAATAATGAAGACTTGGACTCCTCAGAAAATCAGTGTAACAAAAGCCAAAATAGGCAGAAACTATTCTAGATTAAAGGAGACTAAAGAAGCATGACAACAAAATGTACTCCATAATCCTTGGCCTAGATCCTGATTAACACCATTTCCAGAGCAACTGAATATATGGGGAGAGAGACCAGAGCAAGTTAATATAGACTTTTTCATTTTTTGATGGCACTGGGGTTTGAATGTAGGGCCCTCACACTGAGGTACATCCAGCCCCCCCTTTTTTTTTAATTTTGAGACAAGGACTCATTAAGTTACTAAATTGCCCAGGCTGGGTTTGAACTTCCAGTCCTCCTGCCTCAGCCACCCAGAACACTGGGATTTCAGGCATACACCACCATACTACGCTAGATTATATATTATATAATAGTATTATACTAATATTAAATTTCTTGGATGTGGTAATGACACTTCACATGGAAGTCTATCTTCTTAGGAGATACATGGTGAACTATTTAAGAATGATGTTTTACCTGTAGTTTTCTTCTACCTAAGTGCAATAAAAAGTGTGTGTTGTGTGCATGTGAATATATAGAGAAAGAGCAAGTAAGTAAGTGAACATACAGGAGAATAGAGCGTGCTAATCTTGGTGAAAGGTATATGGATTCTTACTGTACAATTCTTAACTTTTGTGTAAGATTAAAAAATATTCAACAGGAGAAGGGGAAACCTTTACAATATAAGATAGGTCTATGTTGGGACACCTCTGTAAGCTTCAAGTCCAAACACCGTCCATCCAATATGATATGGATGTATCATATCAAACTACATTTCCTCACAGCCTACTGAAAGTCACTCATTCCACAACAGCAGGCTGTCTTCTTGGGAAACAGCTCTACTCACCAGCACGTTTTTCAGTTTGATATCACGATGAACGAGTCCCTGGCTGTGCAGGAAGCGGATCCCCTCCACCACGTCTAGTGCTATCTGCAAACGCGTCTCCAGGCTCAGCCCAGCCTGGGGAGACAAAAGAGCTTACACACCGCAACAAAGCAACACCCCAGTCCAAGTCACCTGAACCAGCTGAGACTTCCTTCTGTGAGGGACTAAAAGACTTCACCAGGGCACGTGAGGACAGGAAAGTTTATGGGAAAAAAGGGGAAGAGGAAAGCAGGTAAAAGAGAACCAGAGAAAAAGGAAGCCATAAAGAGCACAAAGTCGTATAAAATCCCTTGCAAGCTGCAGTTGGGCCAGCTGGAGAATCCCCAGATGTGAGCGAGAGAGGTGCAACTGCACGACTGAAGCACGAGCTCATTTCTTACACGTAAACAAGTCTGGAGCTGCCAAAGCCCAGAGTGAGTGTTTAGGGCCTTCAGGCAGATTCACGGTGCTTGATAGGCCTTGTTAGCCCAGGTTTGGTTTTATGGATTTAAATTCCAAAATTACTCTTATTACTTTAATTTAGGGTCACTTCAATTTGTAGAAAATGTCGTATCACTTATACAAAGGACTGAGTGGGTTCTCAGCACACTTGTGAAAAGCAGCAGATGATGCTAAGTGTGACTCCTCTGAGATGAACAGGGAAAATCACTTGGACGGCAGTCTCCCCCCGCCACCCCTCCTGGGAGCATTTCTGTTTTCTGTCCTTCTTCTGGATGCTCTTCATAAACCTGTCCAGGGTATCTGGGAGACGGGACCTACCCAGATACTGAGGGCAGCTTTTCTCTTCTCCTCAGCCCCAGTGGCGGGAACAGACAAAAGATGCCTCTCTGATTCCCTTCTGGTGATCATTCTGGGTGAGAGAAACTCAACACCCAAATGAGGGTTTCACCTTTACTCAGTTTTTCAGTTGCACATCCCAATTCATTAAAAAAAAAGGTCAAGGCCATATAAGTGATTTCTGCTGTGCTCCTTACCAGGGCTTGTGTTAGAATGTAGACCTTGTAGCTTCTCACTGTCTACAGTAAACTCCAACCCTTCGGAAATGTGTAATCTGTTGAGTCTTGTATAATTTACTCCTAACGTCTCTGCACATTATTTCCCTCCACGCCCCCAAATGAACCTGATGCTGCAAGGTGCTTAGCATCTTCCCTGGCCTTTGAACGCCCTGACATCATGCTGCTCCTTCCTCCACACCGCCTGTTTCCATCTGCCCAGGTCCTCCCATCGAGGTACACGTCAAACTCTACATGGCCACGAAAGTCACTGACCACAGTTCTCTTAAAAGGTCCTAAAATTCATACTTTTTGCTACTACCTGTTTGCGCTTAATGCAAAGGAGTCACTAACAAAATATTTGTTGCATAAACAAAACTGACGTTCTCCAGTAAAAACAAAAAAGAGAAAGAAGAACAGTTACAGGAAGCCTTTTTGCTTTTCTAAGGAGTCTCCATTTTGAATACCATCACTGAAGGCCAAAGTGGTGCATGGCAGTGTTCCAGACATATACTGGGGCAATAATAGTTTAGGCTTTTTTGGAAGTAAGTGTAATAAAGCCAGATAGTCCGACAACCACTTATGAAAGTCAGAGGCTCTGAATAAATGGAAAAGGATGAAAGGCCAGAAAGAAAATGATGGGTCCAGCTGGCTCTCACGCCCCCTTGCCTCACCTCACCTTCAGCCCTGTGTAGAGGTCCCGGTGCAGCCGCTCCATGATGAGCAGCACAGCAATGCTGGAGCCACCGCCATAGCTGTAGTCGATGACTGACCCGTGGAGGTCCACCAACCTCTCATGCTTCGGCAGAGACCTGTGGGAACGACAGGGGTCAGGCTCCACGGCAGGCCAGGATGAGGAGAAGATAAGCCCAAGGCCACCCTGAGTCCAGGTCCAGAGGGAATGGCCCTCATTGCAGACACTGTGCAGAGAGAATGGCCTCTCGGGGCCAAAGCAGCATGGAAGCTAAAAACCAACAAGGCTTAATAACTGAGGAAGAAAGATAACACGAGCAATCTGAAGGTGGTGGAGCAAGAGCAGGCAAAGACAGTGTGGGCCCTAAAGGGAGTGGTCCCCAAAACACTGGCCTACATGTTGAAATCTATGTGTGGGGAATCACAGCACACTGTAGCTCTTGATACGAAATTTATTTCAGCCTTCAGGCTTTTCTGGATTTTTCCCATAAAAATGAGTGAAATCAGAACCCACCTCATGTAGTGAAACTCCAAAGCCAGATCATTCCAGTGCTTCTCATCCGGAGGGACGACAGACTTGAGAGCACAAGGGAAATGTCCTCCCCAGTTGTCACACAGGTACACCACACCATACTGGCCTCGGCCCAGTTCCTGTCCCAGCTTAGGTTTACCTGTAGGATAGAAAGACGGAGCTAAGGCAGGGATGGGAGCTGACTGGGCAACCTCTGTTAGAGGCCAGGAAGTCATAATCCTGCCAGTGGAAGAAATTCTAGTACAGTCACTCTAAACCAGTACAAAGTAGCCTAGCTGGTTAAACTTTGGTCATGTTATTCAAACTATAAACATCAGGACCAGACAGACTTCAGGAATTCAAAAACATATCAGTAAATGCTTAGGTAGCTCTGTAAGGAAGCAGCATGGGACAGTGGGATTCTTGGAGGCCAGGCACAAAGTTCAAGGATCCCGAACCTTCCTTCACGTACTTGCAAAAAGCGAGGTCTCACCGTGCAACAAGACGTCCTGTAGAGACCGGCTCTCCAGAGAAAGGCGGGCCAGCCGGGGGGCGTGATCTTTCCGAACCTTCAGCCACAGATCTTCCGTCTTCTCCAGCCGGCCTGAGTGGCCAGCTTCCAGCTGAGAGGGAAATTACATAGGTATGTGACATGTTTAGCATAGGAACTGGCCCGTGTACTGTCGATAAATGATACTTTTGCCTCTGGGATTCATAATCACATCTGTTCAGCCCCACAGAAGACAAGCAATAAAACATCACATAACTATGAACTAGAAGTTGGAAAATCATCCCTTTTGTCACTTGTGTCTAAAATACCATATAAAATAAGTTCCTCCTCCTCTATAGTCTTTCTCACTTAGTGAAAGGGGAGATTAACTGAACTCCCTCACACTCCTTAGGATTAGAAAAATATCCAAATGAAAACCTACTAATGAAATTTCCTGCAACATGACATTATCCCTTTACAGAGCAGAAAGAAAATACACTGATTTTTTTTCTCCTTTTGGTGGTAATAGGTATTGAACCCAGGGCCTTTGCATTGAGCTACATCCTCAACCCTTTAAAAACAATTTTTTTCAAAAAAATTTGCTGTTGCCTAGGCCAGGCTCAAACTTGTGATCCTCTTGCCTCAACCTCCCAGAATACTGGGATTACCAGAATCATTTTTTAAAAATTGTATAAAGTCGAGCTGGGCGCGGTGGCGCACGCCTGTAATCCCAGCACTCGGGAGGGTGAGGCAGGAGGATCGCTGTGAGTTCGAGACCAGCCT